CTGTCTTATTCTGCTTTATTCAACCCTAGGATGGCTAGTTGCAGCCAAAACCATGACAATATTCACACATAAAATCCCGATTTTGTATATGTAGTTTTATCCCCAATACACCCAATTCCACCAATCATTTTGGCATCCCTCTGACACAAAATTCTAGATTACCCACATGCGATTCTAGAAGGGAAGCTATACTTCATTGCATAATTTCTTAGAGGTAACGGCCCAGGGAATGGCAGACTTCCTCCCATTGAACATATTTCTGGTTTCCGGTAATGGAGATTGGTAAAGACTTTCAGACCCATATCCTTCAAAGAAACAAGCAACAAAAAATGTTGTGTATTCCTTTCATGCAAGAACTATAAAAGGGGCATTATTTATATTGTAATGGTAAATAGATCATAAAGATATATTTTTTTCTATGCCAGCAAGGGCCTAAGATCTTAGGAGTCAAGTCACTTCTATTTGATTTATGGAAAATCTCTAATTTAAAGGAAAATTATAATCACTGTGATTTATCTAGCACCTATTATGTGCTAGCATTTTGGTAAGTTTTTTACATCATTCTTTATTTAATCCAAAGGGAAAAATACTTATGAGATTGGCACTGTAATTATCCTAATTAACATCAAATACACGCAAGCACATACACACACAAACACACCACACATATTCAATGCACACTCAGTAAATCCCAGCACAATTTAGCTGGGGCTTGAGCTAAAGTCTGTCTGATTTAATGCCTTTTATTTTATACACCTGTGACATTAATTATAAAACCCTTTCATGGAAGCCTCAGCACATCTAATTGATAGCTTAGGCATATATGGAGTCCAGACTCTATTTTAGGTTTTGATTTGACTGTTTCTGCATAAGATTTATTGCAGTAAATTGGAGACTATCTCATTGCTTCTAACGTGAGGTTTTATCATTTGAACCACATAATTTATTTTCAACTAAACATAGAAAATCAACAAAAATTAATATCTTCTTTTTTATAAGACAATTCCTGTGGACTCTATTAGCAGATTAGAGATAACACTCTCAAGATACAGGAAGAGAGCTACATAATTAATAAAACATTGATATGTATTATTTGCATTATAAATACTAAAATTTAAATTGAGACAAAATATTTTACAAAATTTTTAGTGAACTTACCCTAACAATGTTATAGATGTCTCCATCTCTATAGTTGTTTGTAGGTATACAATACAAACCATTGTAAAACATTTCCTTCTCAGGAATGCAAGGGTCTACCTTGCCATCATCAAGATTGAGACCATCATAGAAATAACCATGTAGTTCTATATTTGGAAGCAGGTTGTACACCTATGAGAAAAATCACATAATTCCCAGTGATTTTAAGCACTCGTTTTACAATTACAAAATTAGCAAATTTTTGTGTCATACCCATTTATTTTTGGTCTTTTCTTTAAGTGCATGACCATAACATTTAATCCAATATTTTTTGTGTCAACTTATTTCCAAAGAGAAAACCAATTTTGCTTTAGGCAGTCAATGTCATGTTCACAGAATTTTTCAGCTTTGGCACAGGATTTACAAGAGCATGTAATTAAGAGATACTTGAGATCTATTGATTAATTCATGGCCTAGTATATAGATAATTTATTGAAATTATAATGTTAGAACTCCCAGGTCTGGAGAATGTTAGCTGTCTGATTCTAAATCTTCTCATATAACCTTCCAAAGAAAATACAAAATCAACAAAAAGAACAAGTAATGATATACATGACTCATATCTTTAATGTTACTAAGATACAGAGAATAACATGACTTTCAAATTACTTTTTGGTAGAGAAATAAACACCAAATTCCAAAGTAGC